ATGCTATCTTGTTCTTGTGTTATTTAACTATTATTAAAGCTTCAGACAAGGGCTTCACAGTTGACCATATACCTGAAGGGAACAACACAATAGGAACGAACTATTGAATATCATGTGGTTCATTCTGTCTTGGAAAAATTCGGCCGGGGGAGGGTCATGATAGAATTATTTGGAGCCAAGAAAGCATAAATTATATCTGAAGTAAGCCCTTCTGCCACATGTAGAGTTTCAGTATAAGAGGAACACATTACAAGCGTAAAATAAATAGGAAATGCTGGAGGAACTTTTGTTTTTAATCAAAATAGGTGATAAATATGATAGGTAGCAAAACTAAATATCATAATGTGTTTTAACAAAGAACTGAATAGGTTATTCTTAATAAATGCAATTCAGGATTGCTATAAATGCACTAAGTGAATATTATGGTTGGGCTAAAATAATAAGAGATTATCTACTGGAGAGATAGTAAGAACTGCTGATGCAGTTCATAATGGAGCGTGGAGCTGGAGGAACACAGCGTGGAGCTGGAGGAACACAGCAGGCCAGGCAGCACCAGAGGAGCAGGAAAGTTGACATTTCGGGCCGGGATCCTTCTTCAGAAAATCTACTTGAACTGTTTTTGTGTCTATTAACTGTTATAGATGGTTGCAGTTATGTATGTCACTGTCAAATATATTTTAGCATTTGTCTACCTAGATACTAAATCTTGGAACCAATTCAAAAGACATGAAAATCCAACTAAGGCCATCTGAGCAATTACATTGATACCGTGCAGTGCAAGGATCACAGAAAAGAAATTTCTTTAAATGTTGTTAGCAATTCAATCCTACTGCACATTGTTACAAATTATTAACTAATAAAATACCTATCCTGACACTCGTCCAAATTATCAAGTATCAATCCAAACTTGAGCTAAGGCACTTCCAATTCACCACCCTTGACTTGTCTTTGTAAATGAAAAGCTTTTTAATTTGACCTGCATTTTCAAAGTTGATCAGAAAGACATATGCCTGTACACCAAATGACATTTTACTTGTAGAACTGTCATCAAGATTTCTTTAATAGCTTTAAGTTGACAGACTACATGACAATAGCATAATATCAACAATACTCAGAAGTAATTTATTAAAATATACAATACAATAGGTTAAGCCCTGGTGCATGCACATAATTGCAATGAGACATCAATTCTCCAGATGTTCTTAATCTACTTTCTCACATACATACCTTTAGCTTACTGAAGTTATATTAACATAATGAGATAAAGAAACTACAGGGAACAGCCAGGCAACTACAGGCCAATGAGCCTGACATCAGTGGTAGGCAAATTATTGGAGAGCATACGGAGGGCCAGGATCAACCAACATTTGTATAGTCAAGGTCTGATTAGGGATAGTCAGCATGGATTTGTGCGCAGGAAGTCATGTCTGACAAATCTTTTGGGAGTTTTTCGAAAAAATAACCAAGATGCATGAGGGTAGTGCAGTGGATGCTGTCTATATGGACTTTAGTAAGGCCTTTAACAAGGTCTCGCATGGCAGGCTAGTCATGAAAGTTAGGTCACATGGGATCCAGGGAAAGCTGGCTAATTGGTTTCAAAGTTTGCGCTATGGTAGGAAGCAGAGGGTGATGGTTGAAGAGAGATAACAAGGTGTAGAGCTGGATGAACACAGCAGGTCAAGCAGCATCAGAGGAGCAGGAAGGCTGACGTTTCGGGCCTAGACCCTTTGTTTCTTGGATTGGAGGTCTGTGACGAGTGGTGTGACACAGGGGTCAGTGCTGGGATCTGTGTTATTTGTTATTTACAAAAATGATCTGGATGTGAATGCACAAGGCGTGATTAGTAAGTTTGTGGATGATACTAATTTAGGAGGTATCGTTGATAGTGAAGAAGATCAAAAATCACAGAGGAATGTTGAGGATTGGCAAATGTAATTCAATACAGACAAGTGTGAGGTGTTGCACTTTAGAAAGGCAAACTAAGGTAGGACTTATACAGGAAATGGTATTGTCCTGAGGAGTTTTGTGGAACAGAGGGACCTAGGAGTAGCAATACATAGCTCATTGAAAGCGGCGTCACAGCTGGGCAGGGTGATGAAGAAGGCATTTAGCATGCTGGCCTTCATCTATCGAGGCATTAAGTATAGGAGTTGGGACGTTATGTTATAGTTGTATAAGTCACTGGTGAGGCCGTACTTGAAGTATTGTGTACAGTTTTGGTCACCCTGTTATGGGAAAGATACAGTTAAACTGGAAAGGGTGCAAAGTAGATTTACGAGGATGTCGCCAGGACAAGTAGGCCTGAGTTACAGGGAGAGGTTGGCCAGGATAGGGCTTCATTCCTTGGAACGTAGCAGAATGAGGGGTGACCTTATTGAGGTGTATAAAATCATGAGGCATAGACAGGATGAATGCATATAGTCTTTTTCCCAGGGATGGGGAATTGAAAACTAGAGGGCATAGGTTTAAGGTGAGAGGGGATAGATTTAAGAAGGACCTGAGGGCCAATTTCTTCATGTAGACAGTGGTGTGTATATGGAATGGGCTGCCGGAGAAAGCGGTTGAGGCAGGTACAATAGCAACATTTGGATAGGTGCGTGGATGAGAAGAGTTTAGAGGGATATGGACCAAATGCAAGCAATTGGAACTAGCCGAGTGGGCACCATGGTCAGCATGGATTAGTCTGTTCTGAAAGGCCTGTTTCCATGCTGTATTACGCTATGACGCTACAACTCTAAATTAATAGGATTACTATGATTTAACAGTCAATCTTCCCCATACATATTTTGCGGAGTAGTTTATTTGGTTGTCTGTTGTTTCCATTCTGCTCCTGTCAACTGCCACACCTACGTGTCTCCATGCCACGCTGTTTCAACCAACAACATAATTTTCTATCCCTCCACCAAACAGCACATAATAGGTAAAAGTGAAGCACTTACATCTGTAGTTCACCTAAACTCTGCCATAGATATCAACATCAACAGTAGATTATCTTCTCGTCACATCTGCCCACCTCTCCAATTAGGCAGCTCTCTTTCAGCCTATTCCTCTGTCATATCATTGTTCCACAGCACCACAGCTACGTAAGCTACTGTTGTTATCTATACCTACTTGCCGTTTTGATCTTCCCTTTCCTCTAGTTTTACGTCCAATTACAATAAGTACAGCCTCACCCTTCTTGTCAATTAATTTATTTATCCTACACTTGTTCATCAAGAATTTACCCAACTCTGTCCTCTGTCTGATATTCAATGACCCAGCCTCCACTAGTATTGGTGGTGGTGGGGAGGGGGGATTCCACAGACTAACGAATCAAAATTTCCACAATATCTCCTCTTAACTGGGAGCTGCCATATTTACAAACTGTGTCCTCTTGTTTTAGTCCAGAGGGGAAACATCCTTTCAGCATGCAGCCCATCGCTGTGGTTCACGAGGTTGCTTGGGACAAATTTCAACAAAAACTACTGCATCTCTCTCTCCAGACCTTCTTTGCAATCGCACATTCCTGAGCAGACTTTAAAACAAGGCCCCAGTTCAGGTGAATACAACAGATCCAACAATCATTATCTATTAACAACAACAGAAATTGCTGGAAAAGCTCAGCAGCTCTGGTAGCATTTGTGGAAAGATATCAGAGTTAACATTTTGGGTCTAGTGACCCTTCCTCAGAACTGACGGTAGCTGGGAAAAAGTTCACTTTTATGCAAAAGATACGATGGAGGGGACGAGATAAGGAATAAACAATAGGTGGAGATAGAGCCCAAAGAGACAGAAAAACATTTTGACAAAGGATTAGATAATGACCAGTCTGTAAGAATAAGTAGCTACTAGTGGGGACAATTAGTAGCTATTCATTCTCCCAGGTTGATCTCCCTTCTTTCAATATGTATTTAGTCATTATCTCGTTATTCTCCTGTTCTCACTGGTATTGAACCAGTGAATGCACTTCAAGAATACTTCGGCAGTTTGTCAAATTTGTTCAGACTGAGACCTGTGGTGTTACTTTCACCTACTGTGGACTGGTATGATTGCAATTCCTCCAAACTGACTGGTCCATATCATCTAATCAACAAACTGCTATCCAAACAAAATCACAAAGTATTGGAGGGTAACATAGGGGAAATCAAACTCCCGAACTTGGGATACAGAAGCAGAGGACAGCAATGAGTGCCTTTTTCTGTGCTGTGCAGACTCTCTGTTACAATCTTCTATTCACGTTCTGAAACAGACTTATTGACTCCAGGTTGAGAGCAGAGACAACCGGGCATCGCTGCAATTATTAGCTCACAAACCGTGCTGAACAGTTATGAAGACTTCCGCATAAGTTATCATGTGTTTCTTCTATACTCCCCTTTCCTTGCACTTGCAATTTCTAAGCCGCAGAAAGTTTCCTCAGCAAGATGGGTTTTTTTTGCAAAGACGTTATAAAAAGTGTTAGTTTTTTCCTCGGTGCTAACTTGACCCCTGAAGGGAGGGCGGTGATAACTGACCATCAGAGTAGGGCTGTACCGCCAGTGAAACGGTGCGGGGCGAACCCAACTTCACCCAACAGGAATCTATTCAAACCCAGTCCCAGGGTCAGCCTGCAGCAATCGCAACAACGTTGTTCCAAAAATAACTAAATCGGAACGAAGGGCCGATTTCATAAGGTTCGACAACCCGCTTAAAGTTAGTTCAAGCCCTAAACTTCAAGACATTCCGAGGAACATATCCCCGCTTCCCTTTTAAAAAAAAGACCCCAACTACCAATACTGCCCCAAAATAAAACACTTGTCCGTGAGAAGAAATTTGGGAGGGGGAGGGGAGACTGAGTACTTGTGAACTGTCAGGATCCCAATGTATCGTGAGCGCATCTTTTGCATTTAACGTTCAACAAGTGATGCAATCAAAAGCGGGACACTGCCACGCCTTGATAAAGAACAAAAGGAGCGGAGGGGGCAGTAAGCACTCGGAGAAAAGCCCCGGGTCGAAAGGAAGGGGGATAAGCGAGCTCCACTAACCTGACAGCTGTCTGCTCCGAGACTGCACTCCCGCGTACTGATGGCCCCTGAGAGAATGCGAAAAGGAACAGGCTCCGGGTCCCAGGCGGGAAGCAGCGAGATCCTTCTCACAGCAAAAACCATGCGTCAGCTTCCCATCCCGGCTGCGCATGTCTCAGACCTCCTCATCTCTCTCCCTCACTCTCTCTCTCTCTCTCTCTCTGTTAAGTGTCAGAATCTGCACTGACAATTGCTAACTGCTCTGTCCCTGCATTACCGACTGGCTCTGAGGCTGAAAAAAAACGTTTTTTTTAAAATCACGGCTAATCCACCTAATTTGCTCAACTCTGGGCACTCTGGGACAATTTAGCATGGCTAATCCACCTAACTTGCCCACCTCTGGGCACTGTAGGACAATTTAGCACAGCTAATCCACCTAATTTGCCCACCTCTGGGCACTACGGGACAATTTAGCACAGCTAATCCACCTAACTTGCTCAACTCTGGGCACTATAGGACAATTTAGCACGGCTGATCTACCTAAGTTGCCCACCTCTGGGCACTATGGGACAATTTAGCATGGCTAACCTACCTAACCTGCACATCTTTAGACTGTGGCAGGAAACTGGAGCTCCCAAGGAAACCCATGGACAGGCAGGGGGAGAATGTGCAAACTCCACATGGATAGGAATCAAAGCAAAATATTCTCCAGGTTGCATGAAAATCTGAAACAAAGTGCTGGAGAAACTCAGCAGGTCTGGCAGCATTTGTGGAAACATATAGCAGAATGAATTAAAGTTCTGAATCTAATATAGCTTCTTGAATCATACAGTACAGAAGAGGCACTTTCGCTTTTGGAGTTTGCACTGACAAAACTACAAAATCAACACTCCCCTACTGAACAAAAGAGGGTTCTGAAGAAGTCAGATCAGACTCGAAACCTTAATTGTGTATCTTTCTCCACAGATGCTGCCGGACCTGCTGAGTTTCTTGGGTATTATTTGTATTTGTTCCTAACTCATCAAGTTCAGTTCACCTGTCACCCTTTGGTTTCTAGTCTGGCAACAGTTTGGTTTTAAAATTCTTATCCTATTTAAGGTGTTCCATGTTCTCACTTTTTTTTAGCTCTGTAACATTATCCAGACAATTGTGGCATCTTGTATATCTTCAAAATTATAATATAGATCGCCACATGATGAGGGATGGCACTTTGAAGCCTGATCGCTATGCATTCATATGCCACTATTTCAGACTAACCAATTACCAAACTAACAATGCTTGTTTCAATGTTCTCCTGTACATATGAGAGTGAGTTTGATATATTCACAAGCTTATTTGGAAATAGAGCATTGACAGTGTGAGTTGCTGTCGGACAGGAAGGTGGAGGGGCACATCTTTTTGGGGGTGTGTCCCTTGTGCCCATGTAAAAGCACCCCATCAAGATGATATCCCCACTTTGACCCTCTACCCACTTATCCCCTTCCCTAATCTTCTTATTGGGGTTTCCCAGCTTTGTCCACCCAAAATTCCCATTGTTACCTGATATCCAGGAGACACATTCACATTTTCATGCAGCTGGATATGGAAGTTTTGACTTCTAAAGAAAGGCTGGATAGACTGGGAGTTTTTTCACTGGAGCGTAGGTGGTTGAGACGCAACCTGATGGAAGTTTATAAAATAATGAGCGGTATAGATAGAGTTAATGGTAGTTGTCGTTTCCCTAGGATGTGGGATTTCAAGACAATGGGGCACATTTCTGAGGTGAGAGATTTAAAAAAGACATGACAGGCAATCACTTTACACAGAGGGTGGTTCGCGTGTGGAATGAACTTCCTGAGGAAGTGATGGATGTGGGTACAATTACAACGTTTAAAAGACATCTGAACAGGTATATGAATAGGAAAGGTTTGGAGGGATATGGGCCAGGAGCAGGCAATGGGACTAGTATAGTTTGGGATTTAGCATGGACTGGTTGGACCGAAGGGTCTGTTTCCATGCTGTATGACTCTATGACTGGTTGCAGTCCAGGCGGTGGATTTTTTTTTTTCAGGTGCTGCTGATGCTACAAAGAATCTTCAACAGTTAAAAGCTCATTTAAATTTTTGCATCTTGACTCTTTCAATCTGAGCATGAACTCCCACCCATACTCGGTATAGTGGCCAATAAAGTTAACATTTTCTTTGGTTTAATGCAGGATTGAATACCTTCATTTTCTGTTCTTTGTCTCTCAGATAGCTGCAAATTGGTTTATGTCTGCACCTCAAAGGGATATCTTTGAAAACCAGGAAGCTGATAATAATTCCTCCCACTTCCTACAGACAAAGGGGGTGGCCATGGATACCCGCATGGGCCCAAGCTATGCCTGCCTCTTTGTAGGTTACGTGGAACAATCCCTCTTCCATACCTACACTGGCCCTAAACCCCACCTCTTCCTCCGTTACATTGATGATTGTATCGGCGCCGCCTTGTGCTCCCACAAGGAGCTCGAACAGTTCATCCACTTCACCAACACCTTCCACTCCAACCTTAAGTTCACCTGGACCATCTCTAATACCTCTCTCTCCTTCCTGGACCTCTCTGTCTCCATATCGGGCAATCACCTAGAAACCGAGACAACAAGGTGCAGGGCTGGATGAACACAGCAGGCCAAGCAGCATCATAGGAGCAGAGAGGCTGACGTTTCGGGCCTAGACCCTTCATCAGAAAAGGGGGAGGGGAAGGGGGCTCTGAAATAAATAGGGAGAGAGTGGGAGGCGGATAGAAGATGGATAGAGGAGAGGATAGGTGGAGAGGAAACAAACAGGTCGAAGAGGCGGGGATGGGGCCAGTAAAGGTGAGTGTAGGTGGGGAGTTAGGGAGGGGATAGGTCAGTCCAGGGAGGACGGACAGGTCAAGGGGGCGGGATGAGGTTAGTCGGTAGGAGATGGAGGTGCGGCTTGAGGTGGGAGGAGGGGATAGGTGGGAGGAAGAACAGGTTAGGGAGGCAGGAACGAGCTGGACTGGTTTTGGGATGCGGTAGGGGGAGGGGAGATTTTGAAACTTGTGAAATCCACATTGATACCATTGGGCTGCAGGGTTCCCAAGCAGAATATGAGTTGCTGTTCCTGCAACCTTCGGGTGGCATCGTTGTGGCACTGCAGGAGGCCCAAGATGGGCATGTCGTCTGAGGAATGGGAGGGGGAGTTGAAATGGTTCGCGACTGGGAGGTGCAGTTGTTTATTGCGAACCGAGCGTAGGTGTTCTGCAAAGCGGTCCCCGAGCCTCAGCTTGGTTTCCCTGATGTAGAGGAGGCCACAACGGGTACAGCGGATGCAGTATACCACATTGGCAGATGTGCAAGTGAACATCTGCTTGATGTGGAAAGTCTTCTTGGGGCCTGGGATGGGGGTCAGGGAGGAGGTATGGGGGCAGGTGTAGCACTTCCTGCGGTTGCAGGGAAAAGTGCCGGGTGTGGTGGAGCTGGAGGGGAGTGTGGAGCGGACAAGGGAGTCACGGAGAGAGTGGTCCCTCCGGAAAGCAGATAAGGGTGGGGAGGGAAAGATGTCTTTGGTGGTGGGGTCGGATTGCAGATGGCGGAAGTGTCGGAGGATGATGCGTTGGATCTGGAGGTTGGTGGGGTGGTACGTGAGGACGAGGGGGATTCTTTTTTGGTTCTTATTGCGTGGACGGGGTGTGAGGGATGAGTTGCGGGAGATGTGGGAGACACGGTTGAGGGCGTTCTCGACCACCTAGAAACCGACATCCATTTCAAGCCCACCGACTCCCACAGCTACCTAGAATACTCCTCCTCCCACCCACCTTCCTGCAAAAATGCCATCCCCTATTCCCAATTCCTTCGCCTCCGCCGCATCTGCTCCCAGGATGAGGCATTCCACCCCGTACATCTCAGTTGTCCTCGTTTTTCAAGGACTGCAACTTTCCCCCCTCAGTGGTCGAGAACGCCCTCAACTGTGTCTCCCACATTTCCCGCAACTCATCCCTCACACCCCGTCCCTGCAATAAGAACCAAAAAAGAATCCCCCTCGTCCTCACTTACCACCCCACCAACCTCCGGATCCAACGCATCATCCTCCGACACTTCCGCCATCTGCAATCCAACCCCACCACCAAAGACATCTTTTCCTCCCCATCCTTATCTGCTTTCCGGAGGGACCACTCTCTCCGTGACTCCCTTGTCCGCTTCACACTCCCCTCCAGTCCCACCACACCCGGCACTTTTCCCTGCAACCGCAGGAAGTGCTACACCTGCCCCCATACCTCCTCCCTCACCCCCATCCCAGGCCCCAAGAAGACTTTCCATATCAAGCAGATGTTCACCTGCACTCTGCCAATGTGGTATACTGCATCCGCTGTACCCGTTGTGGCCTCCTCTACATCAGGGAAACCAAGCTGAGGCTCGGGGACCGCTTTGCAGAACACCTACGCTCGGTTCGCAATAAACAACTGCACCTCCCAGTCGCGAACCATTTCAACTCCCCCTCCCATTCCTCAGACGACATGTCCATCCTGGGCCTCCTGCAGTGCCACAACGATGCCACCCGAAGATTGCAGGAACAGCAACTCATACTCTGCTTGGGAACCCTGCAGCCCAATGGTATCAATGTGGATTTCACAAGCTTCAAAATCTCCCCTCCCCCTACCGCATCCCAAAACCAGCCCAACTCGTCCCTGCCTCCCTAACCTGTTCTTCCTCCCACCTATCCTCTCCTCCCACCTCAAGCCGCACCCCCATCTCCTACCTACTGACCTCATCCCGCCCCCTTGACCTGTCTGTCCTCCCTGGACTGACCTATCCCCTCCCTAACACCCCACCCACACTCACCCTTACTGGCTCCATCCCCGCCTCTTCGACCTGTCTGTTTCCTCTCCACCTATCCTCTCCTCTATCCACCTTCTATCCGCCTCCCCCTCTCTCCCTATTTATTTCAGAACCCCCTTCCCCTTCCCCATTTCTGATGAAGGGTCTAGGCCCGAAACGTCAGCCTTTCTGCTCCTATGATGCTGCTTGGCCTGCTGTGTTCATCCAGCTCTGCACCTTGTTGTCTCGGATTCTCCAGCATCTGCAGCTCCTACTATCTCTAAGCTAATAGTACGCTGGCTTTCTATGGGTACGTTCCTTCCCAAAACTCACCTCTTTGACAACAAATCAGATGGCT